AAGGCCCGCGCATCTACATTTTCCCGCCTGACCCCATCAGTGCCGACCCAACTCCACCACCACACGCACGCCTCGCGGCGGATGCGCCGCAGCAAGAAGGTTTCGGTCATCCCTTGAGGGTGAGTCTAGCCCTGCTCGCCAGAAAGACCCCCCCCTTCACTACAACCCATGTCTAAAAGGGCCGTTTTATACATCCCAAATTTTTGTTCAAAAAAAGTACAAATTTTCCAAAATTTCGGAACTTGTACAGAGGCGTTTGTCCAAATTTATTCAAAAAATTTGGAACGAACCTGGGCGCCGAAATTCGTACTCAGTTCGGGGTTTCCCCGCCTTTCACCAGTTCATTTTTACCAAAGCGGCACGAACTGGCGAAAAATGGCAGTTGAAATACCTGCCCGCGAAGGCGGCGAGACGTGTGCCTGTTGGTGTGAATGATCGACGAAGCTCCACCCCCCCCCTCAAGTCGGGCGTACACACACGGAGCATACTGGCCCACACCCCGCACACCACCGCCGATGGCGCGCCTCCACCGTGCCAGGATGGGCCATGAGCGGTACGCTGAGTGCATGCGCATCCTCCTGCTCGCGGCAGTGTGCGGAGCGCTAGGTGAGGAGGACCTATTACTCGTTTTGGGCGCATATTGGGTGGTGAAATGGCGCGCGTTCCAAGAGCTCGTCGCGCCGACACATCTAGATGGTATGAGGTACGACTTCATGGAGGTGCTTGGTGGGTTCGACTTCAAGGAACTGTTGAGGTTGAGAAGCCTCACTTCCGTCGGCTTTTGTCGGCGCTGGAGCTTCCACCCGAGTTCGTGATTTCGTGGTGAGATGGCACGCTGCGGCATGAAATCTCATGCCTCTGGTCCACTTGGTTCAGCAGTAGACTAGTCTAGTGCCGCACACAAGCGAACGACCGTGCTGCAGTGGATCCCTCGGGAATATTGAGGCTTGTAAATGCTGCTAAGGCGCGTTGTTGCATATGCAGGCTAAAGGTTGGGGCAATGCATGTGGTGTCGATTCGCAGCGACTCTCTTCTTGACGTAGTCCTATCACTCCGGAATTTTTTGAAATTGGAAGATGTCCGCCTCTCTCTGTCGGTTTAGGCGACTACTACAGCTGTTACGGCCACCAAAAAGTGGCTCAGGTTTAGGGGTAGGAGACGGAGGTGTAAAGGCGATAATTCTTCCGGGGTGACTCACGCTTGTGCCTGTCCCACGATCCGCTCTTGGAGGAAACAACATTGAAACTTCATTGTGTGCTTTAGTGTTGCTGTGAAACGCCGTTGGGTTACCCTGCTTATGTTGCTCCTCTCCGCCGAGGTGTCCCCAAACCCTCCACAACCCCGACTCCCTGTTCCCGTGTTGTGTTTATGATCTCGCCTCGTATTTGTGTCTGGACAGGGGGGGGAGAGGAGTGCTAAGAATTCCGGCACGTCTGTGTTTGGCAGTCACTCTGTGGAGATTTTCTGCGCCGACGACGTTGCTACGCGATCGCCTGTTCTGGGGCATGGGGGAGACACTCGTATGCGAGGTGTTCAATGTCACCATTGAGGCAATATACGATCGATGGGGACACCTTGTGCGGGATTTGCAGGTCGATGCTATTCTTCCTAAGATAGGCGACTTCTGTGAAGCAATATCTAGCCGCGGCTCGCCCCTTCCACGCTGTTGGGGCTTCCTCGATGGCACAATTCGAAAAATCTGCCGTCCTGGTCGTTGGCAACGTATGTACTATAATGGATGGAAACGTCTCCATGCCCTCAAGTATCAGGCAGTAGATTCTCCGGACGGTATCATTCGCCAGCTTTGGGGTCCTGCCCTCGGTCGCCGCCACGATGTAGCGCTACTAGGGGAGAGCGACCTGCTTGCTGTGTTGATGCAATCGTTCAATGATGCTCAGGAAGAGCCGTACTACCTGTACGGTGCTCCGGCGTACCAGAACTCGCCGTGGTTGATGTCGCCATATCGGGGTTTGTTGACCCCTGAGGAAGCTGGCTTCAATTCCGCCATGAGCAGTGTTAGGGTTCCGGTGGAATGGGGGTTCGGTCGAGTCGTCGCCCAGTGGCCCTACGTAGACTACCACAAGAAGCAGCAGGTCGGTCTAAGCGCGTGTGGCCTCGGCAAGCAGTATTCTGTCGCCGGCATTCTCACCAATTGCCATTGCTGCTTCTACCCAAATTCGACGGCACAGTACTTTGACCTCCAACCCCCGTCCCTCGAGGAATACCTACAGGGAGAGGGGTAAGTAGAACGTACTTGAAATGAATCGACGTTGGGACGGGGTAGTCACACGCTCGCGCTACTTGGTATGAAGTAGGGGTGCCGTGTTGAGGTTAGATAACGACGCATATGAGGTGCTCCGAGGAACTGTCGGCGCCAGGAGCAGGAGATCAACGCAAGGGAGGGAGATGAGTCGGGTGTGCGGCATGAAAAGAGGCAGCATGCTTCGTACTTGATTCTTTTTATGTGTCGTCGCGTGCTTACTCTTCGGCCGTCGTTGCATATGACTACGAACTTCGTGCGTGTTAGGTCTGCTTCAGCCCTCGCACATGATGAGGGGTTCATGGGAGGCACGACGTGCCGCCCTCGTATCACTAACTGTATGACACGAATGTACTGGTGATT